GTGAATGTTTTGGAAAGTGCTACGCCACGTTTTTGTGCCATCTAGTGGTTTAGATGAAAATAATATCAAAGGCGCCTTTTACCCCGGGGTGCGTTTAGCCCCGTTGTACCCTATTTGAGATACTTTAATCAGATCTTTGATCTTCAAAGGTTAGTTCTGTCGTTCACTTGTTAATACAATCAAAATGTGGATGACAACTGCTATACAAGATTATGATGTACTTTTAATATCTCAGGGATCCCTAGATTATTTGCTTTTTTAACCCCTTAACTGTCACCCCCCATTTTTTAAAATAGGCATGCAGGTGCACTATCCAAACTTAAATTGTTGTAATTTATGAACACTTTATAATACAGACATAAGGTTGGTCTCTTTTTAAAGAAGAAAATCAGCAAATTATCGCAAATTATATTTTTTCAAAAAAATTGAAGTATCAAAAAGTTATGGTAGTTTAAATTTACTGTAAAGAAAATGCACTATATTAATTTTTATTATATTTTATATATAATAAATATTTTACATAACAGGTTTTACTCTAAAATTGGTATAAAATTAAAGTCTTATGTCTAAATAAGTTATGTTCCAAATTTGAAGTTGATATGAAAAAAATTGAGGTTCCTGTGAGATTACCATCCAAACTCTATTACATTTTTTAATGCATTTTTCTGTCACAAATGTGTAGATTTCTCTGTCAATATTACTTTTATTTCAAAATAACCACCAAATATGGAATCCTGAGACTCAGACCAAAGTCTTGTCAAGATTATAAAAAGTTTTGTAAAAGAGCATAATGCATTTTGTAATATGACACTTGACGCCGCCCACTAAGGGGGAGGAGACCGCCAAAAGATTTTAAAATACCATTTCCATGTTTTCACACAGGGATGAATCTTGGGCTTCTAAGCTTTCAAATGATATATGATTTATGATGATTACTAAAAGATTTGCTAGAGAAAACGGACAACAAAAAAAAGAGTGCCAAGCGTCCCACAGGTGGGACGGTGACAGTTAATTATGCTGTTTCTTGTGAATTTGGTCTAATTATATCTACAGGTGGCTGGCAGCAAAGGCCAAAATGTTAATTAAATATGCGAATATCATCTTATCAATTTGTGTCAGAAGTTTTTTTTTGTTTTTTTTTTTTGTTACCAACCAGCTCCGAGATTAATCACAAAAGCAATTGTTTTGGAACAAAACAAAACAAAACAAAACAAAACAAAATTTTCATTGTGAAGGTAGTTGTCATCTCATGAATCATTGCAAATCATCAAATCAAATCAGCAATGACAGTACAATCAATCAATCAATCAATCAATCAATCAATCAATCAATCAATCAAGGTTAAACAGGGTATACTCATTACCAAAAGGATATGGTATGTTGTGTATTTCATATTCATGCATGCACTTTCTTTTTTCAGGCAGTATGTATCTCACCCTGCTCTGTTGGAGGAAGGAAGACTGTATTTTTTCCCTGCATTTCCTGTGTGGGATGAAAAAGGATATTCATTATACTCTAAATATAAAGTATACACTTATCCATAAACACACAGAATTCATTAGAAACATAAAAAGCAGATATCCCCCGCTCTTCTTTCTCTGTTTCTCCTTCCTTCGTAAACATGGCTGCTATTATCTGCTGCTTGTTGTAAAATACTTGAATAGCTCCATATGTTTGTGTTTTTGTGAAGTATGCCGGAGAAAGTTTATTAAGCGTTTATTAGTCTATAAATCAGTACAGATGTGCTGCATCTCTGACTGTGGATATGTTTACTGTAGGCAAAAAGAGTGTCAAATGAGAAATGCAGAATACGCTGTGATGTAAACTTTTTGAGTTATATGCATTGCAGGGTACACTGCAAAGTTGTGTTCATTCTACACTGTAATATTTACAGGGTTTCTGCTGCAGTGTGATGTAATTTGTATTTCCTGTACTGACGCTGAGATTATTCATATCAGTATAGGAATATAAAATGCTTGCTTGTTTATTTATTTATTTGTTTGTTTGATTGTTTGCCCTAACAGAGAAAAAACAACAGTTGCCAAATCAGCCAGTAGGTAGGCATTATGCAAATGTGCATAATGAAAAAAAAAGCTTAATCTTTGTCCTTTAACACACATATTTTCCAATGAGGTACAACAAATAAACTTAATTCAACATATATTCTCTAAAAATGTGTTATCTTATTTGTACTGTTTTTATTTATTACTTAATCTACATCATAGATTATTTTACAATCCTAACATGAATCATTTTCCCTGATCTTTCTAGAGCACCCACTCAAGATAAACCTCAGTCCCATCAAGGTGATGCTTTACCTTCCACAATGATCTCCACTGTGACCTGGCAGCTCCCAGCATCATTGACAGCTTCACAGGTGTACCGTCCTCCATCGTCATCCTGGACTTCCTGGACCACCAGACTAAAGCTTCCACGAGCACTGTGTTCCATTGAATAATGATCTCCTGCTATCAGTAGCTTCCCTTTCCTAAACCAGCAAACCTGGGGCTCTGGAAAACCACGCACCTGACAGAGATCACATATACACAAAATGTAAAATCAGTCAAAACATACATAACGGTAACTATGTCTTTCTCTGTTGCAAAGGCACACAACCGCATAAACGCAGTGATTAGACCAGCAGTAATTAGTCACCACGACTGTCCAAGCAAACGAGTGAGACACAGACATATGGCAAGAACCCTGTCACTAGCATTCCTGAGTCTGACCAAAGGAAGCTGCTGGGTGTGTAAAGCAAGCCAAGACTGTGTTCCATAACTGAAAGGTTCAAATATGAACAGCATTCTGGACATGCTTAAAACCCAGTGAACAGAAACGGGAACAGCCTTCATTATTAGTTACTCAGTAACTGATTATCAGTGTTGTCCTGCTTATAGACCAAATGGCAGAAAGTTCTGCTACTTATTTCCTGAGAGCGCTGCATGTGTGTGTGTTGTGTGATGGACAAGAGACATTTCGGTAACACTTTATTTTAGGGTCTCCTAACTAGTTGCTTATTAGCATGCATATTACTAGAATATGAGTCATTTATTAGTACAAATTAAGCACATATTAATGCCTTATTCTATTCTACATCCCTAATCATACCCAATACCTAAACTTAACAACTACCATACTATCTATTAATAAGTAGCAAATTAGGAATTTATCGAGGGAAAAGTCGTAGTTAATAGTGAATAGGTTTTCCATATTCTAAAGTGCTACCGAAATTTCATATCAGTTGCACCTCTCTTTCAGTATTTATGGTTATGCCAGAAATTAAAAAAAAAAATACTTAGGAAAAAGTGCAAAAAATGAACCATGGTAGGATTACTACCATGAATTGTTGGACATAGTGCTATAGTAATACCAGGGGTGCCCAATCCAGCTCCTGGAGGATCAAATTCTTCCAGAGTTTAGCTCCAGCCTGCTATAACACAACAGTCTGGATGTTTTTTGTAATCCAAGGCTACGTCTAAAAGCCTAGGCAGCTGACTTGTTGCCTCGCTGCCCTGTCAGCCCATGACTTCGCAGGCAGTGTTTGCACCTGAAGGTACCTCCCTACATTCATTTTGGACAGACTTCTGATGATGCGTTCAAGTCGGATAGATCGTATTTATGAGTTGAACACACACGAATGCCACCACAAATCATTATTACGAGTGGGAAACTCAAAATTTTCTTTAAGCCTCGAGTTACCGAGTTGGATGCAGCCAAAGACTATAGATATGCAGCATCTGTATTAACGGCAAATTTGTTGAAATGAATATTTTTTTTTGATTGTAAAATAAAACTATGAAAGTTATACATAATTTTATAGTTTTGTATAATTACCGTAGAATATATATTAATTCAGTCTACATCACCTTCATGACTTGAATAAAAACAGAAAAAAGCAAAAACACAATGATGCACATTCTTTATTCATCATATTGTAGATGTATAGTTTAAAAAACAACGGTTGATTTTTATGTAGAAAAGTTAAATCGCCATCTTGTTCCGACCAAAGTGACTTGAAAGCACCTGCATCATAATTACGACTTGTCAACTCGTAAATACGAACGTCCCAGGAGGACTGGAATGCACTATGAAGTAGCATAGAAATAGTTGGTGATAATCAAAAATTACTGCAATTCTAATATCTTGCAAAATTACAACAAAAAGTTGTTCAAAAGCATACGTTAACACACAAACTGGCCACCGAGCACAACTTTTAGATTTAATTTCCAAAATCACAGACTGGAAAGCACAGGATAGTGGGATATATGAAAAAAGATCAGATTAATTTTTCAGCTTTCAGATGAGCCCGGATGTTTGTTGTAATCTAAAAGACCTTGATAGCTAGTTCGGGTGTGTTTAATCAGGGCTGGAGCTAAACCACCAGCATGCTGGCCTTCCAGAAGCAGGGCACCTCTTCAAAGACTATGGTACCACTAAGGTAATACAGTAGTACTATAATAATTCCATATATGCACTTACATGCTGAACTATACACATTCCCTCTTTGAAACCTTGCCAGATTGTTACACAGTTGCGGAGATGTTCTGTTAAGCATAAATTGACGTTGTGACTGAATAGCATTGCAAACTTCCTTAACTTGCTTAACAAAATTAGGATTGAACTTTGCCCACCAACTAATCATGCATTATTTCTGACTGAACTAATCATGCATTATTTTCATTCATCCGGAAAAGTCTTTGTCTTTTGCAGCATTGAAATCTATCGGTTATAGATCAGATCGATGAGAGGACCACCTGATCCGTCTATAATAGAACGAGCACAAATGCCTGAGTCATTAGGATGGAAGCAGTACAACTGTGCTTCAGAGCTCAGATGCTCTCCTGTTCTCCTTTCTGCTTGTTTTCTCTCAGTTCTGTCAACCATTACAAATCTGCATGCTGAGCATGTCTAATAAGGACACCGTATGGATAATCTCCCTCCATTCAGCCTCTCTTTTACCAATGCTGGCATGTCTCGTTTCCACAGATCTCAGTGAAATGTAACATTGCACACTGGAAGAGGACCAGAGTAAAATCATGAAACTCAACCTTCCTCTCCGTCTGCAAACCAGCAGTATTGCACATCCACTTCACATGAAACAAAAATCAGAGGAAACTGCTAACTACTCCAAGCTGCAATGGATTTCAGATCGAATATACACATTTATACGGTTTGATGGCTTAGTAGACAATAGATTGATTCCAGATGCCCTTCCAAAATTCCAAGGCTAAAATGAGAAGAAAAATGTTACCATACAGCAAGGTTTTCTAGGAGCACGTCAAGACTGGTCTCTCTTCCTCACGGTGACAGGTCCACTTTAGTGCAGATTTGCCCCAAAATAGCAATATTAGCTCTGAATTCTCTATTGAATCAGAGCAGCGCTGGAATTTTCTCAATGTCGGCTGCTGGTTTTTCTTGTGTACACTCTCTCAGTTTGAAGTCTTTACTCGGAGACCTGTGGTCAGGATCTCTACCTCAAAAATCCAGCAGGACTCAAATCCGATGCTGAGGGGAGGAAAAACACAGGGTTGTTTGCACACAAACTCTTGCTTTTTTTGTTTGTTTTCTCTCACACAATTCATACTGACAGCACAAGCAGGGCAAGTAAGTCTTCAGCAGAGCTAGACACAGAGAAGACACTATTGGTTTCACAGTGTATTCACCTAAAAGTGAATCCTCATTGTGATTTTTTATGAAGAAAATGCATGTGGTGTTTGCACAAACTAAACTCACAATCAACTGTTCTGGGGTGTGTTTCTGCTGCTTAAGTACCAAGTAGGATGCATTGTTGAAGAAATTAACTAGCCATGACTGTTTTCTGAATCTGTGGTAGCTTTGTCACACATTTGTGGTTTGAACCACGTTGTTTCAACAATAGAACTGTTGCTAATGATGTTATGCAGGTGGTGGAGGAATAACGTCCATTAATTATTTCATTTGAGATTGAATTAATGTCAGATTATTGCTGTAAATAATGAACATGACATCTGAGGACTACTTCGCTATTTTTGTTCTTTGTTGTTTTGATTTATTTCCAGAAGTATGATTCCATTGTAGCATCCTCCACATACTTTCGGTATTCCCCAGTGGCTCTAAACTAGAGAACATGCTCACTTATTATTTTGATAAGGTAAAAGGAATAAAATAAAATGTATATGGAATGAAAGATTGTGCATGATAGCTTGCTTTTTTTTTGTTGCTTTGCATGAACTATTTAAGTGGAGAGCTGGATTTCCAACAACACAACTTGTCACGCTATTTGCAAATGTTTGTTGGGAGTATGGTTTTGGGAAATTCAGAATTGTTGAACTATGTCACAACTGGGTTGCTGTAGTAATGCACAAGACGAGGAAGTAGGAAATGCAAGTGGTGTTTATTAAATCAAGAATACCGAGGAACACAACCACTAAACACTGACGAGATCAGACAAAGAACTGAAAGACACAGGGAGTACATATACACAGAATAAACGAGGGACGTAATGAAAAAATGAACAGCAGGTGAACTGAATAATTAACTAATAGGTATAGAAACTGACAAGAACTCAAGATAGGCCAAGACTCGAACCTGCGACCTTTGGGTTACAAGTCCGACTCTCTAACCATTAGGCCACCCTACTGCCCCTGAAACACAGAACTGAACAGAACATAACCATGACACTATATTGGTAATACATTATAATAATTGGCTAACAATGCTTTTGGGAAACACACCCCTGGGTAGTTGGCAGAGCATTGCTGTGTGGTTGATCATTTCGATCTCACAGGAAAATAGAACTATTTTGCGAGGTGGCGATTTCGTATGAATTTGTACACTGTACGATTTTTAGAAAGAACAGGCATCCCAAACTCCACCCCTAAATATAACCATCACAGAGGCATGAGCAGATTGTACAAGAACTTATAAGTGCTACGAATTAGCCACTAATTCGCCAAAACATAAAATTCTTATGAATTGCCATGATGTTGTGTTGGGTTGACAGTGTTCTGGGTGATTTCTTACTGGTATAAGTATGTTACCCAAGCCTGCATGATATTCTGGTCTCTATTTGACCGTGGGAAACTTTAGAAAACTAATATCACACCTCTCCTCAATAAACTGCATGATTTGAGTTAAAATCTCTGTCGATGCAGGAAGAGTTACATGCTGAAAATTGTTAGGGGTTTGTTCAGATCTTTAGCCCTAATTATAAGAGTTATGGATTACACATTATTTTAAGGAGTCCTTGTTACGGTGTAATTATACATTTAAGTACTGAGAAATATTAATTAACTACATGGGTTAGAGTTAGGATTAGGGTTTGGCTTAGGGTTACTTGCAATGCATGTAATTATGCATAATATAATGTTATTATAATAGTAAGTACATGTAACATGAAACAAGGGCACCCTAAAATAAAGTATTACCGAATTATGCTCATACTGTACTAATAGCTCAGCAAACCTTAACAAATACTACTAAATGCACTCTCAGTGGCTAGTGCATTGACAGTAATACATTGTGACTTACAGTAAGTGTTCAAATAC